GACTTTCATTTTGGTTCAAGTGATAAATTATATGGTCACCCTATGGTTGGGCCAAGGAAGTATCGTGAAGGAGTGAGGTTGGCTGTGTAGGTAGGGAGTGGCAAGACCTGGACTCTGACACACAGGAGAATGAATGCCCAGCTGGCTTGGGGAAGACTGTTCAGATCCATCTGGCCAGGTGGGAATATCTGGGTCTAATGTTGCTGAGTCTTTGATTTTTAACAGAAGGCAGAATTTGAATTTTTATTCGAAATAAATGTTGAAAATTTTAGAAACTAATTTGTTTTCTAAAAAACATCATATGAACCAAACAAAGCATGTCTGTGGGCAGCTTGGACCTGCCGACCCTCCACACACTTTCCTGCCTTGCCTCCCGTACACGTTTGTGTGATGTAAGAATGGGTTTGAGGGAAATATCAAAATTAGTATTTTTCTCTGTGTGATGGATATGTTTGATCATTGTTAAAGGCACTTATTAAACACCTAATTGCATAGAGTATGGTACAATGTAGATAGAATCCTTAATCTCTAGCTGCTTAGAATCTTAAGACTTTAAGAGAGAATAGAAAGCAGTACTAACCCCTCACTCAGTTTTCCAGCAGGACTCTACCATTTGATCATCTAAGTGAAGCTTAGGCATATAAGAGCATGAGCACAATTTGGATTTTGAGGAAAGAAAGGCTTGGTGCCTGGTGCACAATAAGCTCTCAGTGTTGACTCTATTCATTGAATGGTTGAAGGGGTGATTGAATTGGGGAAGAGGGGCCTGGCTGTGAGACTGAGTGTCAGGAACCACACTGTCCTTAAGCTGGAGAGCTGTTAGAGGTCGCCTGGTTGTGCATCACAATCACCTAAATAACTTTTTAAATTCAGATTCACAGTTCTGGGATAGAGCCTAGGAATTTGAATTTAGAACAAAGCAGAAACAGATTCTGATGAGGCCCCGTGAGTTTTGTGTGCAGGGGAGGAAAGTTAGGTCCAGGGAGTGAAGGCTTGTCTGTTCCAGCTCAGACTAGCCTCGGGTACCCTGGACTCCAGAGGGTTTCCCTAGTCCCACCCTACCCAGTGGGGCCAGGAATGAGTGACATGCTCTGTAAGAGAAACAGAGATGGTTTTCTCTCTTTTGTAGCTGAAGAAAGATAGCGAACACCAGGCGATTGTGCAGCACTTGGAGGAGTCCTTTGCCGTTGCCTCCTTGGTAGAGACTGGCCACCTGGCAGCTTTCTCCCTGACCTCTCACCTCAACGACACCTTCCGCTTTGACTCGGAGAAGTTGCATGTGGGACAAGGTGTTTCCCTAACCCTCAAGACCACAGAACCAGGAATGACTGGTCTTCTTTTCGCTGTCGAGGGGCCAGCTGCTAAGAGGACCATGAGACAGACCCGGAAGGACTCTGAGACAGTTGACGAGGATGAGGAAGTGGATCTAGCTCTGGCTGTAGGGACTGTAAAGAAGCATACCCTGTCTATCGGGGACATGGTCACAGGGACTGTGAAGTCCATTAAGCCCACCCATGTGGTTGTGACTCTGGAAGATGGTGTCATTGGCTGCATCCATGCCTCCCACATTCTAGATGATGTTCCAGAGGGCACTTCTCCTACAACCAAGCTGAAAGTTGGAAAGACAGTCACTGCCCGAGTGATTGGTGGGCGAGACATGAAGACATACAAGTATGGAGGCTTTGGGTGATGGGCTCGCTTTGGGGGGAGATTGTCATAATTTTGGAAGGAGGAGTGGGAAGGTAGGTGGGTTCCAAAAAGTCGCGTGTAAGTCAGATTCTCTTTTAGTTAACAAAAGGCATTCACCAAAGGATCCTTTTGCATGATTTTCCGCTACACGTGGAACATAGTGTAGTTAAGAGCATGGGTTTAGAGTAAGACCTGGGTTTGAATTC